TTAGCTGAAAGGAGCAGATCGTTAGCTGAAAGGAGCAGAACGTTAGCTGAAAGGAGCAGAACGTTAGCTGAAAGGAGCTGAACGTTAGCTGAAAGGAGCAGATCGTTAGCTGAAAGGAGCAGATCGTTAGCTGAAAGGAGCAGATCGTTAGCTGAAAGGAGCAGATCGTTAGCTGAAAGGAGCAGATCTTTAGCTGAAAGGAGCAGAACGTTAGCTGAAAGTAGCAGAACGTTGGCTGAAAGGAGCAGAACGTTAGCTGAAAGGAGCAGAACGTTGGCTGAAAGTAGCAGAACGTTAGCTGAAAGGAGCAGAACGTTAGGTGAAAGGAGCAGATCGTTAGCTGAAAGGAGCAGATCGTTAGCTGAAAGGAGCTGAACGTTGGCTGAAAGGAGCAGAACGTTAGCTGAAAGGAGCTGAATGTTAGCTGAAAGGAGCAGAACGTTAGCTGAAAGGAGCAGAACGTTGGCTGAAAGGAGCAGAACGTTAGCTGAAAGGAGCTGAATGTTAGCTGAAAGGAGCTGAATGTTAGCTGAAAGGAGCTGAATGTTAGCTGAAAGGAGCAGAACGTTAGCTGAAAGGAGCTGAATGTTAGCTGAAAGGAGCAGAACGTTGGCTGAAAGGAGCAGAACGTTAGCTGAAAGGAGCAGAACGTTAGCTGATAAAGGAGCAGAACGTTAACTGAAAGGAGCAGAACGTTAGCCGAAAGGAGCAGAACGTTAGCAGTGTTGTCGTAGCCGAGGGTCACCTCCAACACACCCTTAAAGCACCAACAGATTATTTTTAATCCTGGCTTAAAACTTCGGCTAATTTAAACGTTGAAAATGGCTGCTACAACCGACTAACCTGAAACACAAGAACGACCAAACGTCAGCTGATTTTTCAGACATGTAGCTAAAACATTCTCACCTGAACGGACCGTAGTAACAAGAGGCAAACTTGGCGCTGTAGCTCAGAACTGAAACCTGCAGGAAGTCAAAAACAAACTTGTTTGTTTGTGTCGGCTGTTTTTCAACACATTCATTTTGTACAGATCTTCACCTTGTTTCCCAGCCCGCCTGACAGCAGCGCTCCTTTTATGGCTCCGACTCGTCCATCCATCATGTCAGACGGAGCGATGATGTTACAACCTGTCGACGATTCCAGAGTCTTTAAACCTCCACCAACAACACAATGAGATAGTTTCTATTTGCCCCAAAACAATCTGCATTTACCAGCTTTAGCGTAAGCTAACGCTACTTCGGCTAAACGCAGACAGCTGGAGTTATTGTTCAGAGTGCCGTCATCGTCCAGGATACCTTTAATGAACAGAAAAACTTTAGTTTGTCAGAYCAGACGCTGAGTTTTATGTGAGACAGGTGAGACGCTGACCGCAGTGTCCGTGGGACGTGTAGGGACACAGGCAGACGTCACACGCCACCAGCAGCTCGGGGAACAACGACCGGATCTTTTTAACCGCCAGCACGGCCGGCGTGTCGTCAGAGTCGGCCCCCGACCCCCTCCAGTCCTGAAAAAAAACCTATCATTTAACTTAAACATTTGATTTAACTTTTCTCTTTTAGTTTCAACAAACCTTTTCAATCTTTGCCGGAACACCAAAAATCAGAACGCACTTTAAGCCTTTCTCCACCAGCGGTCGCAGCATTTCCTCCAATTTGTTCACCCCGTATCTGAGGAAGAGAAACGTTTCAATCAGACGCAGCTTCGAACAAAAGACAGAAAACTTTTATCACAGGAAATTAAGATGTTTTTTTTATATCTGCTCATTGAGAAACAGAATAAATAAAAAATGAGTCTGAACAGTGCACTGAAAATATAATTATTTAAAACAAAAGCCCCGACAAGAGAAACCTGAAGGGAAAGAAACGTGAGTTTTGTTTGGTCTAACGGATTCTCTTCTTATCTCAGTCCTGGTCCAGTGTTTGGTTCTGGATCCGCCCTGCCTTTATCTGAGGACAACACCCTMACTGTGCCGAGACCCCCTGACTTTATCCCCCAGGGACCGAGCAGCACAGAAGCTACATTCGCTCAGCTCTGCACCACGTCTCACCTGGCCTGGCCCGGCAGGCTGCCGATCGGCTGCACCGCATCTGGGTCGTCTCTGGAACGGAACAGAACAAGATTTAATTTAACCGTGAGCGGTTGATAATAAATCCACCTCATGTTGCAAAAAATAATAAATAAATAAATAAATCAAGATCGACAAATTTGACCCACGTGACAAAGACGGGGTAGATGAGGTTGTCCGGTCTGAGGTCGGCGGCGCAGGACTGCCAGAATCTGAGCGTCGGGTGGAAGTATCCGCTGTGGAGGACGGACTCTGCAGGCGTCTGCATCTTCACTGATCCGAGCCACAACTGGCACACATACAAGAGTGACACAACCCTTCAAAATAAAAGCCAAAAAGACCACATTTATAATCTGTTTTGCTTCTGCTTCCTGTTCAGTCACTGGTAAAATTGATCAAGCATGCGTGCTGAGGCTTTGCTTTAACTGCAGATTATTGAACCTCGGTGTCATCAGCTCTCTTCAAAGTACTTTGAATAACCCGGAAGTCAACTAAAAACTCTTTTTATCAGCACTAATGTTGCAAAATCAAATGATGACTCAGAAATTTTAGCTCATTTAGGTTTGCTACATGCATTGCAACAAATAAAAAAAAATCGGGACCTAAATGGATATGAGTAAAATATTAAAACAAAGGTTGACTTTAGCTCAACAAAAAGCTGTTCTTATTATCAAAGACTTAGTTACGCGTTAATTACACACACATAAACTAAAAGTACAATAATGACATAACAAAACCTGATCTTTAAACATAAAAATTAACACTTTGAAATAAATAAAAAAAGCTAAATATTAACTTTAACTSAACCAGAAAGTCTAAACTCCACCGAAACAATTTAGCAACTTGGCTAATATGTTAGCTCAATCGATCAGAGACAGGACCGGAAACTTACTGAAATAACTGAACTTCTCATGTTTAAATAAATAAAAGGACAAAAATATTCATTTTAAACCTGCGGACTCACCTTTGAACGGCAGAGCTGACTTCCACACTTCTTCTTCTCCTCCACACTTCTTCTTCTTCTACGGTTTGAGACAGTTTGGTGTTTTCCCGCCACCTACAGGTCAAGATACAAACTACAACTTGCTCAAATGCAGTCGTCTGGATTTTTTTCTCAGACCTAAATATGAAATAAAAAAAGATGTTCTCTAAATAATATGAAAGATGATCAATATAACCTATTTTGTTTTTATGAAGACTTCCATTTGCATAACTAAGAAAGCAGATGGAAAAAAAACGACCGGAAATAGCTGTGACCACGTTTGGGGTCGCGGTGCCCGATTTAACGCATGCGCATTAGTAACTGTCAATATATAAAACACTATTTACTTGCGTTTACTTGATTTAAATAAGAGATTGTCAAAACAGGACAAAATCTGATAAACTGGAGCTCGCAGTAGATTAGTAATCCCAGCAGGTTGCAGTAGATTAGTAATCCCAGCAGGTGGCGTCGCTCGGATCTGCTGGAAAAAAATCCACGAAGAAGAACTGAAGCCGAAGCGACGGTGTTAGCATCTTGTTAGCATGGCTGTGTTCTGATTCTTCTAAGCAGATGGAGAAGATTGACTTCCGGTTGTTTTTACGGTAAATAAACTCGGTATGATGTTAATTAAAATGCTGAATTTGTGAATTTGTGAGTTGTGTTTGTAATAAACTGGTTGTGTGTTATTGATTTGGTTAGCATCACAGTGGGAGTCTCGGCTAACATCGATGTGATTCTTGATTAAAACATGTCAGAAACGTTAAAATGAGTGTGTTTGATATTATGTGGGATCTGAACATGATCCAGGATTAAGCTGGACTAAACGGAGCTGAACTGAGACCTGACAGGAAGTAATCTGATTTTCAGGCCCTGATGTTGTGAAACATGAGCGTTTATCTGGAATAAGGTTGAATTTATTGTCTGTTCTCTTCAGGTTGGATGTGARGATGAAGCCAACAAGGTGGGAGATCCCAGCAGAACCATAAAGCTCAGTGCAGATTCTCCACCCTGGATCTGGTCCCAGCCTGACCAGACCCAGCTGTCCTCAGTCCCTCCGTCCCCCCGTCAAAGCCCCCCTCAGCCATGCTGTTCTCTCTGAGGGAGCTGGTCCAGTGGCTGGGCTTCGCCACCTTCGAGCTCTTCCTGCACCTCCTGGCGTTCCTGGTCTTCAGCATGCTGGTGGCCCTGAGGGTGGACCTGCTGAGCCCGCAGCTCAGCTGGTGGCTGGTCTTCATCCCGCTGTTCGCCGCCGACGGCCTCAGCACCTACTTCACGGCCATCGTGTCCATCCGGCTGTACCAGGAGAGCGAGCGGCGGCTGGCGGTGCTGCGGCTGCTCTGGGTGCTGACCGTGCTCAGCCTGAAGCTGGTGTGCGAGGTGCTGCTGTGCCAGAAGCTGGCCGAGCAGGACCGGGCCAGGGACCTGTGGTACGGGCTCATCGTGTCGCCGCTCTTCATCCTGCTGCAGCTGCTGATGATCCGGGCGTGCCGGGTCAACTGAGGCCGGGCGAGCGGGGGGGTCCGCAGGAACCGCGCTGCCGTTAGAGATTTGATGGATTTCTTCCTTCTGACTGACTCTCAGCTCCCGGGTCACACTACAATCTGCTTTCTGGAGTTTTCCACGGCTGTAAGATCAACAGGTGAAGTCCTGCTGCTGTTTTTCTTTCTTTGTTTTTAATATAAAAACAGAGACTGTGAGTTGTTGTGGGACCTTCACCAGGACAGACAGATGTTTTAGTGCCTCTAATGTTGTGCAATCAATGGTAGAAAATGAGCCATAAAGAAAAATACAAGTTTAAAGCCAGCTCTCTTGTTTTTAAACATCTTTTCTTCAAAACAGCCGAACTTCAAACCTGTATTTTTCCTGCCTCACTCTAACCTTTTACCCAACTTGTGAAAATGTTCTCACTAAATGACTTTTAGAGGTTATTGTAAGTGTACGTCCTGTAGATTTATTTATTCCATCTTCAGCGTAGACATCCTACAGGTGTTCATACGTAACTTTAAATTCAATCTTTACACTCATTTTTACTCCTTTTTCTTGGTAAATTAAAAAAAAAACCCACAGGAGCACAAACTGATCAACAGAAAATAGAATTTTAGCACCGACCAAGCTATAAATGAGACGTGTGGCCTGTTCTTTATKTAGTTATTTTCAAACTCTCCTTCAAAATGTTTGTAGTTTGTTGAAATTTTGAAAGTGAGTTTTGTTTACAGGTCTGGACTGACAAGTTCTATATATGATAAAACTAAATAAATCTTCAAACTAAAGGAGGCAGCAGGTGTGAACAAAAAGAGTAGCTGAATGCTATGTTTTTATCGATGCAAACAAATTTAGTTAAAAGCTAAAGTTTCTTTCGGCTGCTTTGAGGAAATTAAAAGAAAGTTTGGCTTCATGAAGTAAAACCTAAAGACGACTCGAGATCCGTGTGTTTTAGTTTCCACGTCTGTTGAACTTCCCCGCAGCGGCGCTCTGAGGAGCTCTCCTGGCCCGGAGCTGCTGCTCGCTGTCAAACGGCTCATCGTGTCTCACTGTGTCAGCTGCTGCTGGAAATGTTGCTTTGTACCTTCAGTGCAGGAAAAAAAAAAAAACCCACGCAGTAGATCGTTTTATTTTCACGACTCGTACTGAAGCCGGTCTGTTGTTTTGATCCCGCCCCTTGCTTGCATGTATTTATGGCCTCGTTTTAATTTAACTGTAAAATTCTATGTATTATGTATATGTTGAATTCTTTCTATTTATGTTCTGTTTTTTTTTTCTTTGCTGTGGCACATTTGTTATCTGTATATATGTATAAATAAAACCAAACATTTAAAGAAAATCATTTTGCTTTTTGATTAGAAATAATGTTTTGGTCAAACCTTTATGTTCCATTAGATCTGTTCAGAGTTTGTGTTGAAGAAATGTCTCAGCTACTACCACACCAAATTTTAGCTTTTTATCTGTAAAATTGACAGAGTTGGAGCTGTTTTAGTGTTTTTTGCATTCAGCTGACTGCAGCGGCCATCTTGAATTCGGTTGACTCTAAAAGGGTAATGAGTTGTAGATTTACTTTAAATAATAATTTACTGAAAGTTTCATTTTAATCCATCCAGTGTATCATGAGATATTTTGCTAACACTCAAAAAAAAAGAAAATTATTTTTAATAATAGATGTGGTGACACGTTGTGGCCACGAGGGGGCGCTGTTAGCCCTGTGATGATTTTGTGTTGGGAAAACAAGGTATTTATTATGTAAAAGTTAATTATTTTGTACATTTAAGAAAATCTAGTGAACTTACTTATTTTTAATTTTTATTTTATTATCAATAAAATCTGTGCGATTAAGTCAGTTATTCTCTTTATGCGTTCTTTAGTCACTCTGTGTTTAATTATGGCTCGGAGATAAATATTTTATTAGCTACAGTAATGTCATATAGCGCCCAAGAATAGCCCACTTAAGTCTCGGCTACTACCACATCAAATTTTAGCTTTTTTTATCTGTAAAATTGACAGTTGGAGCTGTTTTTAATGTTTTTGCATTCAGCCGACTGTGGCGGCCATCTTTAATTGGATTGACTCTGAAAGGTAATGATTTGTAGACTTACTTTAAATAATAATTTCCTGAAAGTTTCATTTAAATCCATTATGTGTATCATGACATATTTTGCTAACACACACAAAAAAATAATTTTTAACGATAGATGTGGTGACGCGTTGTAGCCACGAGGGGGCGCTGTTAGCACTGTGATGATTTTGTGTTGGAAAAACAAGGTATTTACTTTAAAAAATTATGTTGTCCTCTTAAGAAAATATATTGAGCTTGATGCCCTCAAAATAAATTTACATATTCTTATTTTTAATTTATTATCAACAAAATMTGTGCGATTTAGTCAGTTATTCTCCGTCTGCGCTCCTCGGTCACGCTGTGTATAATTATGGCTCGGAGATAAATATTTTATTAGCTACAGTAATCTCCTGTAGCGCCCAAGAATAGCCCACTTAGTGCTGATTCATGTGCAGCAGAGTAATAAGCTCATGTGTTTCCTAAACCTGGATAATCCAGAGTTAAATAAACAGGCTTCCAAACTGAAACGACACCAAAACAACAACTCATTATCTTAAACCAGACGTTAAATTGTTTTACTAAACTAAATCTCTAAATTTAAAGCTGAATACGTGAAAGAAGTGTTCGTTTTGGTTAAAAACTAAACAGGCGTGTTGAACGTGAACGCAACTGATTTGATTGACAGGCCTCTCCTCRCCCAGTCAACAATAGAACTGGGCGTGGTTCAGAAAAGGAAAGGGGCGTGTCGGTGAACTGAACGACCAATCAGCGGCTCGTGCAGCTGCGGAGAGGCGGGGCCGCGTTCAGGAGCTGTGAGGAGAAAGGGGGAGCTGAACCTGCGAGTAAAGCAGAGGGAGAAAAGGAGAGAGGAGGTAGGGATGCTCGTGTGTGTGATTATCGGTGCTGCAGGTACCGTCGGAACCGGATACAGCGCCTAAACGCCGCGGCGAGACCGCCTCGGAGCCTCCTCGTGTCCTTAACCCGAGCCACCCCGCGCGATGTCCGGCGCGGGGGATGTCCGCGTCCTCCGCCAAGAGGCCGGGCAAGAGAGTCCGAGGATGCCGGCCTGGAAGCGAGAAATCCTGGAGAGGCGGAAGGCGAAGGGCGGAGGCTCTGTGGGGACCTCCGCCGCCCCGGAGACCGGCCCCGGCGGGCAGCTGAACGGTGAGGCAACGGGGAACGCGAACGGCGCCGACGGAGCTGTCGGCGGGTCCGGGCGGAACTACACCATCACCGCGGCCAGCCAGCACTTCAACAAAGAGCCGCGACCGAGCGAGAGGACGGCGCCGAGGGAGGAGAGCCTGGTGCTGCAGGAGAGCCTGGGGCCCCTGGAGGAGAACCCGTTCATCAAGCTGGAGAAGGAGCGGCGGAGGCGGCAGGACCGGGAGAACGCCGCCCGCCCGGTGCAGCACATYCTGGAGCTGTACGGCAGCGTGCCCGGGATCCGGACCATCCGCGCCGAGAACATCATCATCATCGAGTCCGACCCGGACTACTTCCCGGAGCCCGGGGCCGGTAAACCCGGGCCCGGCTGGCAGCAGAACGGCGTGGACAGCTACAGCTCCCTGAACGACCTCCTGGACCGGAGGGGCAGCTCCGTGACCGAGATCCGGGCCAAGGAGGTGGTCATCTACGACACCACGTTAAGCAAGAGCGAGGAGAACCTGAGCACMCTGGGCCGCCCGGACCAGGACGCTGCACATGATCCGGGTCCGGGTCAGGGTAGGGTCAGCCGGATCCTGCAGAAGTTCGAYAGCAACTACGGGAAGCTGCAGAAGAAGTCCCACAGCACGGAGAACCTGCTGGACCTGGACTGTAGTGCCAGCAGCAGGCCGAGACTCTGGTCCAAGCCACAGCCAGACCTGGTGCCAAAACCCAGACCGGTCCAGCCAACCTCACCTGTCTTCCAGAGATCCTGGTCTTCCAAACCAAAGCCTGCTGTCTCAGAACCGGATGGTCCTCAGAGTCACCCGGGGGCCCCTCAGTCCGTGTCCTCGTACCGTCAAAGGTTTCAGGACAAGGGGGTCAACGGTGCGGCAGCTGTCTCCAGAGACGAGCCAGATCGRGCCCAGAACAAACCCCCCAGGGAGCGAGACCGGGAGGACTCCGAGGTGTCCCCCAAACCCAAGGTGCCATGCTCCCCGGAGACCCGCAGTGCYGAGTCCCCCCTGCTCCCGGTCTCGTCCAGGGTGCTGAAGTCCTCGCCCGAGTTCGAGATCCGCCCGTCCGTGAGGCCGGACCTGGACCAGATCCCTGACGGGGACGCCCAGGCCCGGGCCCTGGCCAACCTGCGTCTGCAGTCCCGGAACTCCTTCACGGTGGTCCCCAAGCGCCGCCTCCAAACGCCGCCCGTAGCTCCAGACCCTGTCAGGTCCTCGCCCTCAAGCAGGGCGGCCGAGGAGTCTACGCCCGGAGTGCCAACCCCCCCAGCCCCGACGGCCCCCCTGATGACCACTAAGAGGAAAGAGGAGAAGGAACCAGAACCACCTCCTCCTGCCTCTGACCCCTCACCTGCACCCCCGGCTCCTCCCACTCCACCTGTCCTGATTTCACCCCCCGCCTCTCCTGAACCCCCCRTGGACCACCTACCTGTAACGAACATAGACGACATCGAGGTGGACCCCCCTCAGCGGGTCCCGGCTCCCAGCCCCATGTTGCAGAAGAAGAAGGGGAACACCTTCACCGTGGTGCCTAAACGGCCTGCGGAGCCCCAGAAGAGCCCCGCCCCCACCACCGCTACCGAGCCCTCTGGCGAGACCCCCCCGGGCTCCACGCCTCCCCCGGCCCCCTTCGCTCAGCTGGGCTCCCAGCTGAAGAAACGCTACCCGGCTGTGGAGGAGATCCAGGTCATCGGTGGGTACCAGGCCCTGGAGAAGTCCTGCCTCAAGACCGGCTCACTAGACAAGAAGGTGAGACCCCCAACAACCTGCCGGGTTGGGTTTTTATCAGGTCCAGACCCTTTATTTCAGGGTTGGGTGGTCTGAACAGTTTGTTCTTCAGGTTTTGTTGGTGTTCCCATCCGGGGCGGAGCTTGTTTTTTTTAGGGGGCGGGGACATAAAAAAAAGAGAAGCACCCTGGATTTGAAAATTCAATATGGCCGCCACCGCTAATTCCAAATTATCAGCTGTTTTCAGAAATATTGAGCTGAGATTTTGTGTAATCGTAGCTGAAACCAACTTTTTCGGCCATTTTTACACATGAAGCTGAAGATCAGAGCAGAAACAGCTGAAAACGATCTTTACTGAACTCTAAATGATATTTTAAGACTTATTGAGGTTAAATTGGTTGTGGAGTCGATGTTGATGCTAATCCCAAATTAAGCTAACCGCTAATGCTAATTTTATAAAGGGCTATAATTCAGCCATTTTCAAACAAACAGCTAAAATGTTTGTATATTATCATCAGAAGACAACCTTTAACAAAATGCAAATAGAAAATCAACCTGTCATTTATTGAATAAGTGCCCCCCCGGCCACCTCTCTGGCTCCGCCCCTGGTTTCCAGATTTTCTCCACTAATTTTCTAAAATTAAAAATCAGATTTAAAACAGCAGAGCATTTCTACAGTTTTTAAAAAAGATAAATCAGTGCAGAAGTTTAAAACCAGCTTTTTTTTTTACCGAAGTCGTGGTTTACTTTGCTTTTTTGTAATTTTTGTGGATTTTAATACGTTCTACAGTTTTAAGTGTAAATGATGAACCACATTTTAAATTTTATTCTAAATCAGAGTAAAGTTTAACAAAATAAATCAACTTTAATCTCATCATTAAAGTGACTTATTTCTCCTTTAAATACAAAAAGTCAAAGAAAACATCTTTATATGTAAGAAACTTTATATGAAACATGATTTTAAACATTTTGTTTCAGAACTGTCAGATTGTCTTTTGAACGTGGCTCCAAGTGAAACAGGAAGTGACATCAAATCAGAACATTTAAGAAAATAAAAGTATTAATCTGTTTATTAAAACAGTAGTATTTGACTCAAAAGCTGGTTTAAAAAACATTTAAATTATATCATGTCACATTATAACGTGATATGATTATAASATGAWATTAAACTCAAAAAAGTTGATTTTTACATGATACAGCCCCTTTAACTCAGTAAAAAGTTCCTTTAAAATCTTCATCAAACTGTTAAAATCAGAGATTTGAACCTCCAGAGTTTTTCCTGCTGATCTAACCTTGAACCTGACCGTCAGAGTCCACCTGTCCACTGACCGCTGCAGCCGGCCCACCTGAGCCCCCTGCTGTGGAAGTCCCATCAGTTTTTCTTCTTTAAAAGGATTAGAGGCATGTTGTTAAACAGCCCTCCCTCCCCCTGCGTGTTGCTGCTGCCCCACTAAAGCGTGTTATATGTTGCAGAGCTCATTACCGGGTTAGACGATTCTCCTGCTAACAGYCCCATGAAGGCTGGATCTGGATCTGGGTCTGGTTCTGGGGGAATCCAGGACACCTCCGAATGTTTTCCTCTCAGTCGGGTCATGTTTTTGTGAACGTTTCGTTAAAACTGATTGAATGTTTTGCTGACGGGTGCAGAACATCACACGTCTCTTTGATGATCAGACGGTTCCTCACACGGTCGAGGCAAACTGCTCCCGTTTCGCACGTTTGGGATTAATTAACAATCGGGGGAAACGTCGTCGCTGATGAATTTCTTAAAAAGCTGCAGGGCTGCTGTCGGGTCCTGCGTGGATCGGCTCRGATCTGCAGCCGAATAAAAACACAGAAAACAGTTTTTATTGGTGCCGGTGAGCAGCAGCTGCATCACAAAGCTTTAGGATCCTCCAAGCTCAGCTCCGGCTTTAAGTCTGTGTTGCTTCCTGGTTCTGGTAGCGCTCCAATCTGGTCCAGACTTTGGCCCACTGTCCCATTTCCCCGTCTGAGACCTGGGCTGTAATCCTGCGCTCCGAGTCTTAATCACTTCTTACAAGAAGGTTAAGAAACTCGCGGCGGAGTCAGGAAGTTTATTTGAGGAAATGGATCYTGCTTATTTTAAAAAATAAGCTAAATTCTCCTGTGTGTGTTTTTGTGGTAAGGTTATGAACAAACAACATCTTACCTGTTGTAGATGGAGCTTTGAGTTGCTTCAGTTTGGAGGAACAGTTCAGATCTAATGCTAAAATTTGTTGTTAGCTACAGAACTGTTTCCTGTTAGCACTAAATGCAGGCGTGAACAGTTTACGGTAAAAAATACACAAGTTTTTAATCAGATAACTTGAACTCTTTAAGTTCTGCTGCCATCTTGTTCATGATGAACCTGTTTTCTTTTATTGTGTTGACACCTGAGGATATTTCCCTCTATCATCTGCAAACATGAATTGGGTTTTAACCTCTAACRTGTCGCTTCTGTGTCTCTTAGTTGTAGTTTCCTTTAATGTTAGCATTCATGCTAACGGTACTTTRCCTCCAGTTCTCTGTAAATTAACTCCTCATTTTTGTCAGGATCCTCGTCGTCTTCCTCCACAGCTGGAGAAGTCACCGACACTTTGCAGTTATTGTCCCGCTGGTTTCACAACAAAATAAAAGATGCAACCCATCAAAATAAAAGCCCTAACACGTGACGTTTAGTGGTTTATTCCCTCGATGACACGTTGATTTAATCAGCAGGTCTCAGGATCTGCAGGGATTATTGATCCCAGGCACATAAACAGTATTTGAACATTATCTGTAGGACCTGGACTAGTGCATCCTAAATTTAACATCAGTTAATTMTTTTAATACAACAGTCATTTCTGCAGTTTTTGGGGAGGTCACCTCCTAATAAATGTCCTTACAGAAAATACAACTGCTCATTTTAAATCTATACTTTTAATACTTAAGTAGAAAAAATATCAGATACGTTCAGACTTTTACTCAAGTAATATTCCTAAAGCAGACTTTAACTTTTACCAAAGTAATTTTTTGGTAAGATACATGTACTTTTACTCAAGTATCACTTTGTGGTACTTTAATACTGCTGAGTGACAAAGAAATTAGAGGTGTATTTCCTGAGTGTAAACGGGGTGAAGATGTGTCGGGCCATAAATGAACAGGATTCCTCACACGGCTCATAGAAGTAGGAAAACAACAAGAAGGATGGCTGGATATTGATTATTTTATTTATTAATTAATTTTTTTCACTCAACGATCAGTGTTGTGTTGGTGAAGAGCTTTTTTTCTGAATCTGAAATGCAGGTATGCACTGAGTGTAAACAAAGCACTTTTCTCTGCACACAAATGCACCAGAATTGTTGTTTTTTTCCATTGTTGACGTCTTTTAATCACATCAGCTGTTTTTGTTTGTAAACAAACACACCTGGCAGCACTTCCTGTTGATCCAGTCACAAACTTTGCTCACAGGCTTTTAATTTGACGGGCCAGAACCAGAACATTTTGAGGTGTTTAAACTCACAGCTGACCATCTGACCCGAGCTTTGGTTTAAATTATTTATTTTTTTATAAACGAAACCTTTAAACTGCAGATTATTCCAGCTGCAGTAGCTGAACCAGTAGAAAGTCTTGTGCTGTGAACTCTTCTTGTTTACATACGGTGCAGATTTCAGAACACTTCCTGYCTTTTGTTCTCGTCCTCCACAAACAAAAAAGCACTTTTTTTAAAATTCTCTTGTTGCCGTTCTGCTCGGCTCGGTGTCGGTCAGGGCTCAGCTTTTTTCTTTCTTCTCTGGGCCGGGCAGAGCCGGCTGTTACAAAGCCTGGGCCCGGTCCGTGGGATGTTTGTGTTCAGGCCCGGCGCTGAGGCGCTTCAGTGTTTTTGGCCCAGAAACATATTTCAGAACAGAGAAACTATTAATCACAGTTTTTTGTTGCAGATTCAGATTTGTTGAAGCAGATCCAGCTCTGGCTGCTGTTAGTTTTAGTTTCCTGCTCCCTGCTGGACCCCTCAGCGCGGCGCTGGTTAATAAGCCGTCTCCCCCCCCCCACTTCCTGTGATCTCCACTCCTCTGGGTGAAGGCATCACAGAGGAGCTGCAGCACAATGTAGGTCAGGAGCAGCTTCTCCAGCTCGTCACGCCTGCATTTGCATAAAATCCCTCCAAGTGTTTAGTTAAACCCAGACCAGGACCGACTGGGTCCGCTTTGATTGGCTGGGCTGGTTCTGGGCGGACTGGCACTTTATTTTTATTTTTGTCTGCGACAGATGCTGCAGCTGTTCAGAGCTGATGGATGTGGCTCGCTGTGCAATTTGGGAGGCAGCAGAGTTTGTGTTTTTGAAGTTGTCGTGCTCTAACGGGTTGTTATCAGTGGGAAGGAGACGATGGAAACACGTGTTTCCAGCACAACTTCTGGAAACGCAGAGAGGAAGAGGGTTTATCACTATCTGCCATCTTTCCAGTCTTTCCAGACTCTGGATTTCTTATATCTGTGTCTCGTTCGGGTCAGATGAACAAGTTATTGTTGCAAAATTAAACACACACTGTTAAATTAAACACACACCATAATGTCAAAAATACACTGTGGCTTCAAGGTTTGAAGAAGTACATGTTGTAGATGAGTCTCAGCCAAGGTTATAATAGTTTAGGATTTTTCATTATAGTTTAGTTTTATTTTGTTGTGACTTTTTTTTTCTTTTAATTCAGTTAGTTTTAATTAGTTTTACAGTGGATTCGCTAGTTTTTATTAGGGGTGTAAGAAAATATTGATACACTGAAATATCGCGATATTTCATTTCCCAATACTGTATCGATATTCTAAAGCCCTGTATCGATTTTTAATTAAGGTTTAAAATGTCAACCTTCTTGCCAACCGTTCATTTTTATGTTGTAGTTCAGCCTCTGACCACTAGTTGGCAGCAGTGAGCCAGMCRTTTGGCTYCTCTACCTCTTGAKCGCCAGAGAGTAARDGTAGCATTAGCATTGTAAGTAAACATTAGCTTTTCTTCTTTTTTTTCAGTATGAGGTTTTTATTTAATAGAATTTTTGAACAAAATAAATCGCAATATATCACCTTGCTTACAGTATCGCAATATATCGGGATATATCGTATCGTGACCCCTCTGTTATGATATTTATCGTATCGACAAATTCTTGCCAATACACAGCCCTAGTTTTTATTAGTTATTATTTCATTTTTAATGCTTAGTTTTAGTTTAGTTTTTATTAGTTCTTTTTATAGTTTATTTGCCATTGCATCCTGCAGCTTGTGGTGTTCCTGTGAGTTCACTAACCAACGTCTATTTGGTCACTAGTTAAATCTGTTAAATCAGTTCATTATAGCGACACCTTCCTAAAATAATTGTGTAACTCAGTTTTATCAGCTAAAAACTTGGTGATTATTTTAGGACGATGACAATAGTTGTCTCCAACCTGCTGCTTCCTGTTGTTTGTTTTTCATGGAGCTGCTGAGAGAAGCTAGTGTGTCAGATGGTCATAGTTAGCATCTTGTGTGAGTTTGATTCATGCAGTTTTTCCTTTGAGAAGTATTCCACCTGTTTTATCACCTGTTTCCACTACAAGATACTTGATTTGATTTTTCAGTCAGATTCTAAG